ATCTAAACTCAGCTTTGAACAACCCAGGCCTGGAAAGTACACGACGCAAACACATCATGTATTATAATACATTAGAAGCAAACATGCATCAAACGTACAAAGGGGGAATTTCGCAAGGTTAAGGTTACGTTCTTCAGTAAACTGTGAAAACAACTCTAAAGTAATTAAGCGATGTAATATCACCACTTGTAGTATCAAGGGGTCAAGGCAGGAGGGATTTCTCGAAGTTTGGATCGTTGTTTTCGAACTTAGCGTAACAACGAAATAGATCACAATCTATTAATGCAAGTTTTTTTTATTTCTGACATAAGTAATTCCTATTTTCGCAGCAACTACTGAAGTGAAACCTGACAAATAGAAGGTACCGTTGGAAGTTAAGGGCTTTACGGTTACATCATTAAAACCGTTGAAAACAAACACGGAAACTTGGTAGCCCAGAGGAAATAAGGGTTGGGGAGAATTGGAAAGGGTTATGCAGATTGTTGGAAAAAGTCATCGTATTAAAGATTGTGATATTTCAAGTTTGTCCTCACAATATGAGTAAAACGGTCATTCTTAATGCTCAGAACTCAAGAGTACCATGTTTCTGGAAAACAGTTGTTCCTCTTTAAATTTCCCCTCATTTAGTGTAAAAAAGTACCAAAATTGCACAAAATTATCGAGATACCGTGACCTATGCCATGTAAAGACCTCGGAGACTGAATCTCCGGGAGAGGTTGTTGTCCCTGTAAGTCAAAGAAGATTAACTCTTGTTCTGCACGAGACGAAGACTAATCAAAGTGCTCTGTGAGCAAACTCGTGAATTGACATATGATTTTTTAGATTATGTTTAATGTTATCTGGTTTAGGGAATTTTGTGGTTGATTGTCATATCTAGAGTACGAGCAGTAGTTCAGTGTTCGCTAATGTAGCAAAGAAACAAAGTAACGTTGGGATAAGAAGGCATTACAATTGAAATGATCATGCTATTACATTTGACAAGGGTGGATGATGTCATGTGTTTTAAACGTCTATCATTTTTGTTTCTGGTTCAAAAGAAAAGGTTGGAAGTAAATGTGGGTGAAAAGTGAAATTTACTGTCTTTCATTGTAAATATTAAAAAATCAAGGCAATATTGTCTAATGAAAACATTAACGATTCCCTCTTTATCAAATGAGAAAAAAGGGGACGAGTTTTGAGTGATATAACTAAGCCAAGCCTGCCACCGTCATTTTGGATCTCCGCCTGGGCAGATTTAAGTCACGTGCTAGGCAACGTATAATCAAATTATGAAAAACGAAGGTTGTTCTGTTATTCCAGTGTGAAACCTTGCATGCCTGCCAGTCGCTGGCGCCGCTTGTTGAAACTAAAACGAAAAAAAAAACTCGTTTAAGATCATCATTGGCTTCTTTTTCACCCCACCACTATTCTTAGCAACAAAGGTCGCCATTTCGTCTGTTTATTGCTCGCCAAAAACTATCAAATGCACTCAAAAGCCTAAAATCTAAAAAAAGTTTACAGGAATCGACCAATCGAGCGAGCGAGCGAGCGAGCAAATGCCATTACACATCGTATCTATAACTCGCTCTTGCGCATGCGCGCAATTCACGAGTTAAAAATGAAAACTTTTTTCTTAAACTACCGGTAGCTTTTAAGAAAGAATCAGCAGTGGTCTGTGAAAATATCAAATTTCATTTTAGCCAAAATCCTTTAAGCATCTTCGTAAGCTTTTGTGCGCTGTAAATCAATGTCTTCCGACCCCCAGCAGTTAGGATTCCTTTTAGACTTTGTGTAACGCTTGATCTTTTGACAATGGAAGTCAACCCTTTTTTGACCGTCCGTGGGCAGTTGAGTCTGTCTTGTGAGACCTTGATTAACACATTTTCAATTGATGACTGTTTGAAACTTTTCCCTTCGACAGCTTGCGCTATGTGTTTCTGTAAATTTTTGGGTAAAGACATAAGTCGAGAAAGTACTACATCGCAATCTTGATTCTGGTGATACTTGCAGGATGTAGAATTGAAATGAAGTTGACCACAGTTAGATAAGATTGGTCGATAAAGTTCTTGAAAATGTTCAAAATTTGAACCAACAATGTTCTGTATTTTACTCCTGTCTTCTCCAACAACCATTCTGAAGTCCCCACTGAAAGACAAACCTGCAATACTTAGGAATAATTCTTCCTCTGTAAAGTGCTCTGGAAGACAAAGGAGCGCTGCGGTGACAGCACTATTTAAATTTGCTTTCAAAGCTGATGAAATATCTTCGTCATGAGGTCGAAATACAAAACGAACTGGTTTATGCAAGCGTCCTGCCAAATACAACCACTGCCACTCGTTTAGGTCCAGAAAAAAGTTATCGCGGCTTATTGTTCCATACTTTATCATTCTTCCCTCCATTGGTACCAGAGTATTATAGTACAGACCTGCGCCGAACTTATCTTGTAACGAAACTATGGCACGTGAACCAAACGACCGAACGAATGAATAGTGATGTGGATGATATCTCATGTACATGTTGTCTTCGTGCCATTTACGCACATTTTCAACAACAAATACAAAGTCTAACATATTACTTGGAGAGGTATTCCCTTTCTGAGTGAATACTCCAGAACCGTAAGCAAAAGCCAAAGAAACTCCAGACGGGAATTTTGACAAAATCTTCTGCAGAATCTCATGTTGGTCAGCCATGTTACCCGAGCTAATGCCCAGTCCTCTAACACGAAAATGAGGTTGTCCCTTGAAACGAGGTTTATTACCACGGCAACGACAACAGGAGTAAAATATCAGCTGTGGACAAGGCTGAGTACCTTTGTTGCACCAAGTTGACGATGTCGTTCTTCAATTTGACGCGTTTGGGTGTCCAAGATCCAATAAAGACTGCTGTTACTAGACCAGGAACAGTACCAGCACCTGGTGGGCAGCCAGGAACCGCGGCTTCTACCAGTGGGGTGCAAAGAACCACGCTTAGCGAGCCGGTTTACCCGAACTCGGAAGCAAACGGGTCCTACGTGAAGTACACTAAACGCCTAAACAAACACATCCGACCAAGACTCGGTGAGACCCTTTTTTACAATTGAATCCATTTGAGTTTTGTTTCATTGTAATCATTCTTCCGATATTTTTTTTCATGCTAAACGCCTGTCAAGCTACCTGTATCGTTTACCGAATGTTTTGTCACATTGTTTTCTTGATTTTTTTTAATTGTATAAGCGTAAAACTCACCCTTAGTGATCGTAACGGCCAAACAAATCTGCTGGCTCATTTTATGAGCCATGAACTTTCATAGAGGAATGTGTTTGTCAGTAAGTATTATTGATAAAGATTCCTTGGAGCTATTTGGATTTTGACTTTGATATGGTCTGTGAATCTAGTTTTGATTGGCGGGGGAATCTTAAGGTGTTTGCATGCAAACCGAGAGCGAGGTTAGGAGGAAGAGGGGGATCATACATTTCAATGTCTCTGGCAATGATTTTCGTTTTATCATGTGGGAATTGGAGCTATTTGATTGCCTAACCTGATGTTGTCGAAATTCATCAAATCCCCTTTAAAATTCCACGCCTGGTCTGGAAAAGCAGTCTGAAAAAACACCAAATTCCACCAGAAGCCTCACAGAAACCGTTGGATATGCCAACTGATTCAAATGATATTTCCATAGCTAATGCCTGAGAGCTGTTTGGATTTTGAACTACTGATGGTTTGTGACATAAGCTTTGATTGGTGATGCTTTCATATGACCAGTTGAATAGGGTGTGAGAGAGGGAGAATTCCAGGATCATGCACTTAAATATAATGGTTGTCTTTAAATTTTGTCATTTGAGGAAAAGAACCCTTTACTTGTATGGTCTAATAAAGCTTCCATTCTTGATGAGGTTCTTCTGAATAGGTGTAGTGGGTATCTTTACCAGGTGATTAGTTAGTTGAAAGGGCATGATAGTAGTGTAAAGTAAGTAAAAGGTGTGACAAAATGATGTATAAATATGTTAACTCCTTATTAAAAGCTGACAGAAGCACAAGTGATCCGCTATCTTCAATTGATCTAAATTTCAGGACCAAATGAAATTTACCACACTCAAATAACCACAAATATAAACTACAGTTACTGGATGAAGGATGGGGTACAACATGAAACATGGACACAAAATGAACATCACCCCAGAGTGAATAGTGAAATGACAAGGTAAGCATATTACATTCATAGTTACACAATGCCATTGAAAGTACACCCAACTGTAACACAGATAAGCCAGAGTGGGCTAATTGACTTGTACATTGTAATTTTTCCCCACTAATATGTTAATGATGGTAAGGTTCAGACATACTTATTAACTATGGTTATTAACTATGAGATAGCAACTGGGGTAAAAGGTAGAACTAACACAAATGCAACAAAGCTGGAAATAAAAACCAAAAAACCAACAGATAGAAAAAAATGGAGCACATAATTTACTCCCACAAAAGGCAGTGGTGCCACCCAAAGGGTTTTAAAGTATCATGAACTAAAGATGTGCAAAAAGTCACTATAAGTAGAGCAAAATAATTAGTGAAGTATTTTTTGTTTATATTTTAAAAGCAGGAAACATAATCCAATAAATGGCTCGAACCTTGGGGGAACAATTCATTGTGAAGTCTTATCATTCATACAGTTCATCATGTAGTCCCAAGGACTACTGTTGTAATTAGAGAGCGACATTTTGTCATTTTGTTGCCACTCTGATGATGACTTCCTTCAAAGTTATCAAAATTTCAGTTGCAACTACCAACAACAGTCCTTCTAAGGACTACCCTTACCTGTACAGTCAGACTACACAAAGGTGAAAACTGAGCTGATTTGAGATAATCACAAGTTACTTGTGAGAGCCCTGATCTTTATAATCTCTTATAACCATAGTTGAACAAATGTGTACACATTGTACAGGCTCTAATAAGTTTGTAGTCACTTCAACAAGCAAACCACTGAACATTGATTTCTTGTTTTCAGGTTTGTTGATGAGATGACACTTACAAATAGGGAGTTTACATTATTTTAGGTACATACAGTGTATCAGCAAGACACTAAATTCACTTTTGTAAATTTTTACTTTTTGCTAAGAAGCTAAATTTTTTGTAAGTTAATATCCTAACCATTATTTTTTGTAATGTTTATTGTAAAGTTATTCGAGAAGATCGCTGAGCAAGTATCAGTTAAGAACTTCACTCTCAATTTACAGTATTTGCCTCTGTCTCACATACATATTTTGTAAAAAATGTCACAAAAGTGTTAACGTCATTTACTGTCTCAAGGTGTAAGACTGCAATATAAGGCCAAGATTTGCTTCAGGCATGTAATCATGTTGAAATGAAAGATTATTTTTGATGGATTGAACCCTGCTTGTGTTTCTGCTATAAGCAGTAGTCCCACTTCCCATTCAGTTGGGTATAGGAACATATCTCTCATTTTGACTGCTTTCAAATTTTTAGTGCACACAGGAACAGTGATTACACATGTACTTATTAAGTTCAAACAATGAGTAAATTGCTAAGTAAATAGTAATAAATCACAACCTTAACATAAATTTTTGTCTTTTTTTTAAGAAAGTAATGTTATTAAATAACCTTTTTTTGTAATTCCCCAAAATGTAAATAAATCAGAATTTAATACATTTACTAAAACTTTCACTTGGGCTTTAAACATATATCACATGATGAAGTTGCAATAACTTATTTTCATTCCACCTTGAAAAGTTCAGAAAGGAGTAAACTCTCAACCTGTTAGAAATAAATAGCTGTTAAATTCCCCTAGGCCTCACAGTCAGGCCATAATTTTAATAACAATGATTAAGATAATGATGATGATGATGGTAGCAATAATAATAATAATAATAACAAGAACAATAAAAATGGTAATAAGTGCTCACTTTTATTGCCTGTGAGCACCATATTAAGTATGCATGAGTGAACTTATGTATTCTTTGGTTTTTGTATAAATGAAATAACATTTTCAGTTTGCAAAACTAAAATGTTTTTTCAGTTGTAAGAACTGTTATCACTCTACTCATTTTCCAACTTAAATTATGATTATTATTTTGAAACCATCTATATCTTTCTTTTAAGGCATTTATCTTTGCCAAAATCTGTTCTGTATGAATGAAGAATATCTTATTTGTGGGTAAACCCTCGAAAAAAATTCCCCTGAACATACCTTTTTTTTTTTTTTGAATCAAACCTTACTTGAGTTTGGATTATGAAATCAGTGGTTTATAAAAGTCTGGAAAAGATTTTAAAAGATTTATTAAGTAGTTCATTTTTCAGTGAGTGGTACACCATCCCATTCCAAAATTTATCCAATGTGAATGATTAGTAATTTAATGTATAATTTTATCTTGCGAAGAAAATCACAGAAAAGGTTTAAATACACACATAAAAAACAACCTCTGTTCAAATACCTTTTTTCCACTTGGTTATATTCAACTGCATTACATTAGTTCTTCCTTTGATTTCCCAGAAGGTACCTCCACAAGAAAATCAATTATAAAAGCTGACACCAAATTTGATTGGATGTATCCAAGTGTGCTGTTTGAAAGCTAGAATCTTGGTCAGAATGAAAACGAACATTATATCAGGACTCTTCCCTTTCACACAATGATTTTGTGTTCACTCTTAACCATCAATTAAAGATTGATTGATTTAACCCATTTACTCCCAAGATCTTAATAGCAATTCTCCTTACTGCCTGCCATACAATACTGATGTGGTCAGTTTTGGGAATTTGGTTTAGGATCAACTAATAATCCCTTAATTGATACTTTTCTTCATTTTCATCACTTTCATCATGTTTGCCTGATACTGTACAGACATTCTGTCTTGGCACTCATAGGAGTTTAAGCATTCATAGCTGATTTATTGATCCGTTATCCCTTGCGAACTGAATTCCCAGTTTTCTGGGAATTCCTAGGAATTCATAGGAATTCTCAAAAATCCCCAATTATGCAAATGACCCTTGCAAACTGAATTCCCAGTTTTCTGGGAATTCCTGGGAATTCCTAGGAATTCTTAGGAATTCTCAAAAATTCCCAACTATGCAAATTAACTCTGATTTAAAAAGCTTGGAATTACTGGGAATTTCTGGGAAAGGAAGACTCCAGTTTTGTGAGGACTTTGAATCCCTTGGAATTCCTTGGAATTCTCAGCTTTACAAACTACCTATAATTTAAGAAGTGTGG